TATTCGCTCCGAGCCGATACAGAGGTTGCGCCCCCTCTAGCCAAAATCAGGCAAAATTTCTTGCATGTAAACAAACGGTTTAGAACATATATACATACGTACAGCTGCTTGTGATTGGCACTTGGCAAGCTAGAGAGAGAACGACGATCCTCTCCTGCTGTCTTATTCAGCCAATCACAAGCAGCTATACGCATGTATATATGTTCTAAACCGTTTGTTTACATGCAAGAAATTTTGCCTGATTTTGGCTAGAGGGGGCGCAACCTCTGTATCGGCTCGGAGCGAATAGACGACCCCACACAATCTCTACATATGTATGTACTATACTACTGTGTATAAGCTCAAACAAGAGGGAAGGGAGCTAGGAGAACTGTGCAAGAAGAAGTTTATAGCAAACGAAATGAATAAAAAAAGATTAATTCAATTTTTATGCTTGGAATTGAGTCAAGAGGGGTACGCAACGAAGGTCGCCGAAGACGATGCCGATAGGCTGATAATTTCGACAGCAATTGCCAATAGTTCGACAAGCGACAAGGTTGTAGTAGTCGGTGAAGATATCGATTTATTGGTAATTTTAACCCAGCACGCTCGTGAAAAAAAAAACATTTTTTTGTTAAAACCAAGCAGGCAGTCCACACCCAGATGTATTTACACTTCCAACAGTTTTATACATGAAACATTAGTCAACATAGTTGCTTTCTAGCACGCCTTTACGGAATCGGACACGACCTCTTGTTTTTACAAAAAAGGAAAAAATAAGTTGATTACAGTTCTGAACAATAATCAAGACTTGCAAGATGACGCCAAAGTGTTCTACAATCCTGACGTTAGTCCGTCAACCATTGCTACAGCCGGTAATAAAATTATATCAAAACTATACACTACTAAGAATGAAAAAGGGGAGCTGAACGAGCTGAGATTTATGCATTTCAGGAAATCAGCGAACAAATCCGCTTCCGTATTGAAATCTCTCCCACCTACTGAGGGTACTGGTGAGCAGCACAGTCTTAGAGTGTATCTTTAAGTACAGCAATGGATAGGCAACAAAAAATCAGCATTGCAGTGGGGCTGAAAGCAAACACCTAATGGTTTAAGCCCCGTTTACTCTTGCTCAAAACTGATTCCCCAAACCATTTTGAAAAAAATAACATGCCGGTGCGCTTCGAAGTGCAAGTCAAATGTATGCAGCTGCAGTGTTCAGTTATAAAGTGAACTTGTGCTTAAATGTACTGTACATTTTATTGCTATGCAAAATTGCTGTAATATTTAAATGTCTGTTACTTCTTCGCGAGCTTCTTAAAATTGAATATTTTATGTTTCATACGTTACTACTTAGATTAAAACAATACTTTAGAGACTGTGCTACATTTATACTTTTCTACGTTATAATATATTTAATAGTTGCTATCTGCAAAACGAAATATTCGCGAACATTCACATATAAGCATATAAATACACCGTGCTCTGCGTAGCACTAGTCAGTCCAAGCAAGTGCCGTGGCTGAGTTGAACGCTTCACTCAGTTTGCACCTGTACATAGTATACCGATTGATTGAAAATAAATGTTGCTGTTAATTTACAATTACAAGTCTCGCCTTAATCCTTTTCCCTGTATCTGTCTTCGACGTGATCTGGGCCTTAGCTCGCGACGGTAACGGCCCTTCCACGAACATTTTTGGTAGCAGAGCGTGGTTCCTTGGAACAAAAAGTCGAGGCAGTTTGAAATTGGAGGCGCGAGAATTTCTGTATTGCCAGAGGTAGTGCTGTGCGGGTGAGTGTCGATCAAGCTTAAGAGTCTTGAGTTTTCGTTAAGTGTTCTTCGGCTGCGAGTACAAGCAGTTTACCCACGTCTAGGATTTGGCCAAGGCGGGCGGGTTTGTTTGTCACCTTGAATTTATACACACTACTGCACAGAGTTTAGGCATGTCGCTAACGCTAGATCAATTGGGTATCCGCCAGCAAGAGTTGTTCGGTAGAGTATCTCGAGCGTACGATAATCTACTCAAGCTTGGACAGAACAACATTACGCGACAAGCAATAGAAAATCGCCTCGATCAGTTACGCGCTAACTGGAATGAGTTCCTGCGGAATCACTTCCGGATTCTGGCGCTGTGCACGGGTGATACAGCAGTGATTGATTACTTCAAGTCAGATTGCTATGGCCTTGCAGAGGAGGGTTACTTGAAATCAGCGTCAGGTATGTCTATAGAGCTACAAAAGCTACCTCCAGATCCAGTGCCGCAACCTTCTCCAATCGCTGTTCCTGTAGTACCGAGAAGTTTGCCTGCCGTACCGGTGCCTACATTTTCGGGCAACTTCTGCGACTGGCTCGAATTCAAAGACTTGTTTTCAGCCATTGTGTTACGTGAGTCTCGCATAAGCAATGTTGAGAAATTGCAACAGCTGAAAACTCACGTACAGGGTGAGGCTGCCGAAATGTTGCGAACCGTGCAAGTAATCGATGCCAATTTCGAGGTCGCATGGAGGCTGCTTAAGGATCATTACACCAACACAAGATGCTTGGTAGCTGCAATAACTCGTGATCTTCTCTCAGTGCCAGCTGTAACTGCGGAATCAGCGCACGACCTTAAGGCATTGCTCAGTGGCACTGTGAATGCCTTAGCCGCGCTCAAGCAACTTAAACGACCCACAGCTCAATGGGACGACCGGGTGGTCGCTCTCACTGTCCGGAAGCTCGATGCTCGAACTTTTAGAGAGTGGGAATCTACACTTAGCAACACCACCGAGCCACCAACATTTGTTACGCTCAAGCTCTTTATTGAGCAACGTATCTCGATGCTCGAGATTGTCGCATCTTCAATAGACAAGCATAACCGCAAGAAGGACAAGGGAGCTAGCAGCTCAACCTTCACGCACACTACAATTACGGAGAAGTGCCGCTTATGCCAAGGCGAACACTTCATCCTGCGCTGCGTCGAATTCAAGGCTAAAGAACCGCAAGAACGCAAACAGGTAGTTGAAGCGAAGGGCCTTTGCTACAATTGCCTTGGGGCGCACAAGCTTGATAACTGCAAATCGCTCAAGCGTTGCCAAACTTGCAATGGCAAGCATCATTCAATGCTGCATGGTAATCTTTCAACTGCAACGCATCTCGCAACTTTAGCTTGGCCTGCAACCCTCGCTAAAGGTAATCGTTTATCATGCAACTGGAGTGCATCTTCAGGTAACACTACACTTTTACCTACTGCTCTGGTAAAAACGCAAGGTCCTGATGGACGTACGCACGTAGCACGTGCTATGCTCGATAATTGCTCACAGCAATTTTTTGTTGCAAAAAGCTTAATCAAAAAGCTTGAACTAACGTACCAAGCGACAACTCGCGAGATCACTGGTGTCGGCGGCGCCAAGGGTCCACAAGTACACGGACAAGCTCGACTGACCATTACATCCATCATCAGCGAGAAATCAACGCTCACTTTCGACGCACTGATTCTCTCGTTGATCAGTAATTATAGACCTGGCGTACACAAGCTGTCAAGCGACTGGAGATACCTGCAAGGTTTAAATTTGGCTGACGACTTTCGGAAAAGCTCGTCGAAAATCGAAATACTGCTGGGTGCCGACACACTTCCTAGAATATTACAAGAAGGTCTACGCATCGGAATGCCAGGGACACCTATGGCGCAGTGAACCATTTTTGGCTGGACGCTGTCTGGTCCATTGCATATTTAAATAGTAGTGCCATCATCGGAAGAATAATTGTTAGTGTTGTAAAAGTGTCTAACAAGCAAGTGTATTATTGTGACTCATACTATGTATTCTGATTTCGCCTTGCTCAGTCATAATAGGCGGGCGGCATGTTCAGTTTTAAAGTGAACTTGTGCTTAAATGTACTGTACATTTTATTGCTATGCAAAATTGCTGTAATATTTAAATGTCTGTTACTTCTTCGCGAGCTTCTTAGAATTGAACATCTTATGTTTCATACGTTACTACTTGGATTAAAACAATACTCTAAAGACTATGCTACATTTATACTTTTCTACGTTATAATATATTCAATAGTTGTTATCTGCAAAACGAAATATTCGCGAACATTCACATATAAGCATATAAATACACCGTGCTCTGCGTAGCACTAGTCAGTCCAAGCAAGCGCCGTGGCTGAGTTGAACGCTTCACTCAGTTTGCACCTGCACATAGTATACCAATTGATTGAAAATAAATGTTGCTGTTAATTTACAATTACAAGTCTCGCGTTAATCCTTTTCCCTGTATCTGTCTTCGACGTGGTCAAGACTTTAGCTCGCGACGGTAACGGCCCTTCCACGAACATGCAGAAAACATGAGCTGAAATGCACTTCACTGTGCTCCGGCTGTCATGGAAAATCGTGCACAAACGAGGACGTTATCACAGATGTGGTAGAAGACGATTTTATGCATTTCGATAAAACTATTGAGGAAGTACTCGCTGCCACTAGAGCTGAAATAGATTGGTCAGAAGACCGATTGGAAATTGATGTATATACTGAGGAAGAAGAAGAAGAAGAAGAAGGAGAAGAACAAGACAGATAATTAAGGATGTTTTAAACAAATTTTTTTTTTAAATTAATGACAGGGATGTATGTATGCATATCCAAATATGCAGAATGTATTAAATGCTATTATATTGATGTATTTCTTTTTTACGCCCCACCCAACATTTTACAACGATTATTTCAACAATAGAATATAACTGTATGTGCACAATATAATAATAACAATGTATATGATTTTATACAAGAAAAAGGAAATTTTTTGCCCAATTGTAATTGTCAGATAAGTCTAAAGCGAGAAAAACGATGTCTGCGTTCGCCGACAAATGTTAATTGTTAAATAAATAATTTGCAATAAATTTTTGAAAATCGACATTATGTTCAATGTTATTATTTTGATGAGCTACCACAAATTTAAGAAAAAAGGTTGCTCTACGACCTATGGTTCCGGAGATATCGCTAATTTTTTCGGCCGCTGCTGTTTTGAAGCTGATAGAAAGATCTCTGCGTACCGCAAGAGTGCGGTTGTGACGTCATCACTCGAAAATCCGCCTTTATCGATTGAGAAATCACTGCTTTTGAAAAGGCCGTTATGCAACAACAGCCGGTTTTATCAATCTGTAATTTTAGTATTGGAAAGATGAGCATTTGATGCATGCACTGTGTAATTAAAAAAAAGTACAAGTAGCACTCCGGGAGTGCAGGCAGAAGTGAAAACTTGAACTTATGGCGCGTTGGGCACTTTTTTGGGTGAGAATTCTTAGGTGCACTCGCGACATGAAAAATTGTACATAAAAAATCAAGTTTATCAAAGCAATGTGGGCACTTTTTGAATGGACATGAAGTATAATAACATAGAAACTATATTCGAAGGAAGTGGTTTTATTTAAATGAGTAAATATTAGTAAATAGTAAATACAAAATTTATCAATTTTTTTAACACAATACCATAGCAGCAACACAAGTCAAATGAAATATTTAAATAAATAAATTNATAGAAACTATATTCGAAGGAAGTGGTTTTATTTAAATGAGTAAATATAAGTAAATAGTAAATACAAAATTCCTGTAACTGTTGGTAAAACAGAAAGTTGTCTCCGTAGCCAAAGAAAAAGACTGCTGATGTCTACCTATGCGTATACTAATAGTATTGTACACTATTGTAAACATATATGTACCCCACGTGATTTTAATTTTTTAGATAATTTTGAATAAAATAATGTACGTATCATGTACGTAACAAAATTTACCAAATAAAATAATAATTTACTTACATGATGACGAGCATCAGTTGTAATAATGTATACAAAATAAAGTAACACTATAGTATACGAAAGCATTACAACAATGTTTTTATTAATTCTCTTAACACTTTAGATTTGTTTAACACAATACCATAGCAGCAACACAAGTCAATAAATTTTCCGTTTAATATTCATTTATAAAATAAATATAAAAAACTCTCAATCTCGTCTGTCGCGAGGGCACGAACGAATGTCCATGCAAAGACTGCGTATCAGCGTTGGTCTGAGCATTATTCCACGCTCACAGTTCATGCTTGATCGCACATAGTGCCGCTGACTGGATCCCACCGAGAACTACTTCGCGCGAGAATTCTAATTCAAAATCGTTTGATTTTTTCAACTGACAGTAAGCGTGGAAATTTAAATTCGAAAGAATTCTTGGTATACTATTTATGTATGTAATCATACAACATTATCCAATATTTTTAGGCATTAATTAGCCAATACATACAAAGATTTCTTCCGAATTTGAATTTCTGTGCCTACTGTCTGCTGAAAAAATCATACGATTTTGAATTTGAATTCTCGCGCCAAGTAGTTCGCGGTGAGATCCAGGCAGCGACGCTATGTGCGATCAAGCATGAACTGTGAGCGTGGAATAATGCTCAGACTAACGATGCTTCGCTGCTGCGTATAGCATGCAGCGCTCTCACATACCTATACACTCTGAGTATACATATAGGTATATAATTTCGTCTGTCGCGAGAGCACGAACGAATGCCTATGCAAAGAGCGCGTATAGTATACATATATTATAAGAATACACGTGGAGTATATCCGAGTAAAATCTCATCTGTCGCGAGAACGGCTGAAAATGCTCACCCACAAAAGTGCCCAACGCGCCATAAAAAGTTTTCACTTCAAAAATTTATGTTTCACCGAGATACAATAAAAACAAAATAAAAAATTATCTCAGCTTCTACGATACGTAGAGCGACTTTTTGTTGTTGTAAATTTGTAGAAAAATAGCAGCTACAATATGCGCCTACTCCTGTTATTGTACGACTGAAAATGCAACAGTTACTTCATTTTTTTATACTGTCAAAACGTACCTGTTTTTTAGTAGCGTTTTACAACAATAAAATGTGTAAAAATCAACAAAATCCACTTTCTACTTGATAAAGTAACTCCTAAGGAAGAGAATCCAATCAAAATCAGTAGTGTAAGTTGTTTAAAAAAAAATGAGAGCGATTCTACGAAAGCACCTTTTTAATAAACAATTGACTTTTTGCAAAAACTATTGAGTCGATCGATTTGAAATTTTCAGGGCTTATAAACACCATCAAGGCGCACAATTTCCAAATATTTCGGGAACATTTGCTCTGAGGGGGTATTTGTTATTAACATTTGAAAAAAAAAACGCTATTTTTAGTGGTTTTTTTAACTTTGCGGACGAACGAAATAACCGATTTTATTTATTTTTTTTTTTATTGTAGGTCTTTTTAAGAGCTACATTTTTTGTCTGAACCACTTTTTTGTGTGATTTACAGTTTTCACGCGATATCAAATTTTGTGATTTTTGCTACTATCCGAATTTTTTTAACACTTTCCCACGCTCTTTATCTAATTCTTTTTCTTACTTCCTCTTACCCACCCTCAATTTCCATTTAAACGTAATGACAGCCAGGGGAAGTAAAGGCGGGAGGAAGCGCGCAGGCTGCGTGGGCATTCTTTGGTTTCCTTTTATCTTTGCGCGCTTCGCTATCTCTGAACGGTGGCGTCATCTGAGCGATGAGTAGGGCACTACATTTATATATATCCTCGAAAAAGCCTATCGTATAATTAAGATTGAACTTCACTGAAGTTCGTGTAATCGTCAATTTTCTTTGGAGTGCGAAAGTATGAAATCCAAAGCGGAATCAATAGCCAAGCACTCGGCCGAAAAAATCGAGGCTTGTCCATTTAAGCTCCTGGCACAAACATAGTCGTATCGAGGGCAGAGACAGGCTGAGCCAACGCAAGATGACTCTTTAATCTTACTTCCGTCTGTGTAGATTGGAGTAGCTTCGTGCTTGTCCATGTAGTTGTTAAGGACTGAGTTGGGATCAGAGCTGTCCCTTGTAAGGACCATAGAGATATTATAGATCTATAAGGATCCCTAAGGACACCTAGATCGCTATCAACTGGGATGCGTGAGATACCATGATGGAAGGGGTAGTTGTATTGATTAAAATTGTCCTTTATTTAGATAGGAGACTCTTTAGTGCAAAACGAGAAGATGCATTCAACGAGTAGTCTAAGGTATCTAGGAAGGTGGGACAACCTGTCATGTATAGTCTCAAGAAGAGTAAATATGGTTCAGTTTTCCGGTTGCTAAAGATTTTATACGAATAACACAGGCCCAAGTACCTGGCTCGTTCACGAATAGATGTCAGGCAGGGTTCGTCAAGCAGAATGTTAGTAGGGGTGCTGATTCGGTACCCTAAAGCGTAGCGTATGGCACGGAATTGAACTCGCTCCAGCTTTATGGCTCTAACTGAACTGGAGGGAAAATGGATAAAAATAACGTAGTCCATTATTGACCTAATGAGCTCTTGTAGAGGATGAGCAGGGTTTCCGGAGGAGAGCCCCACCACGTACCTAGTAAGAACTTGATCAAGTTAAGGGAGGTCATGCATCTGCTATGAATGAATTTGAGGTGTTCTTCAAAAGTGAATCTATGGTCGATTAAGACGCCTAAGAAACGAGCGTATTTAACTGACTGGATTTGAGAGCCACCTATTGTGATAGAAGTTTGGTCCGGCTTGAGTCCTTTCTTGTTAATATGCAGAAAGTGAGATTTAGGTACAGAGATGTTTAGACCTAAACGAAAAAGATTAGAATTAATGATATCTACAGATTCTGCAAGAAC